CGTGGAAAATAACAAAGTTAAATATATAATTCTATTTTGTAAAAGTTTCAAAATTGGAAAGTAAATGCAAGATTTTTGTCAAAAAAGTAAATGCATTGTTTTCTAAAATGACTTGGAAGTTGAATATGAAAGCATCTAACTCAATAGATAAAGACTAAAATTTTTCTCTCCACTCAGACTTGGAAATATGCATAGTGATATGCTTTATTTTCTACACATCTCTTCCAATTAATTAAAGAGGCTTTTTTCCTAAGATGATGTCCATGATGAAAATTAATTAAACGAGAATCATATGACTAAAAAAATTAAATGAATTATTTTCTGCAAATGATTGGGTCTGAAAACAAAAAAAGCAAGGAAGACAACAAACAAACTAGTCCCTGTAAAATTTTCTATCTTGAAAATTATCAAATTTTGATTCCCACATATTTTTGTGATTTTTTTCACATTTTTCTAAGAAAAGCTTGACAGAATTGGAATGTCAAATTTTGCATATTTTAATTCATAGAAAGCTGACTTAGTTTAAGTTAATTTAAACCGTCCAGTCAATTGTTTTAGATTTATCATTTTCTTTGAATTTTTTTTAAATAGAAATAGGTATAAGCTGTTTAAGTTAAATGTGTGACCATGCTTAAGAAGACAGTCAATCTAAATCGGCTAGCCAAAATTCAAACTATTATTCATAGTCGAATATAATGCTAGTATTCAAATATAACGTAGTTCAAGTTTTTTTTTTAAAAGAAAAAAAGAACAAGCCTCTAAATGATTTCAAAAACACTCTAAACTTTTTAGACCAAGTCATTCAGGTTACGTCAGAAATACCTAGTTTCATCGAATACTTAAGTAATCGAGAGCTCACAACTATGTTCCAAGCGAAAGACTGAAAGCAAGCAATTTCGATCTTCGATCTAGTAGGCACAAATTTGATTCTCTAAGATGCGTCTAATTTATATTTATAATAGAAATAAAAGAGACGTTTTTTAACAACGAAAGAAAGTGAATCTAATATAAGAGTTGTATTTATACAATTTAAGGGGAAAAATGATGGCCCAAATATCTTACAGTAATGGAGAAAATAATAGAAAAATTGCCAAAGATCTACCATAAACAACTAAATATTCAAATTAAACCCATAAAGTAAGGGTTAATAAAGGTGCACTGATCACCCTAAAAATAACAGTGGCATAATGTCATCCTTAAGCATTAATAACAATCTTGCAATGTTACCTTTTCATTAATAGATTGTCAATTTGACCAATAGTGAATGGGGAAAATTACATATAAGATCCTAAAAATTGCAAATAAGTTTTTAAAAAAAAATCTCAAAATTAAAACTAAATGTCAAGTGACTAATATTATTTCTTATCATTGTTATTACATCAAAATACAACTTTAATCACTAATATAGATGACTGAAGTTCTACCTTCATTTATCACTTAAGTTGAGCAAAAGTAAAACAAATTGAATCAAAGATTCAACGAAGGCAAGCAACAAATGAGGAAACAAGTCTAAGCTATGGTTAATATTGATAGTAATTATAGTACTCTTTATTTTTTATTTTTGCTACAATTAAATCTTGGTTAATCACTAAGGACTTGTGGCTTTAAGTACTGGATCCCAAGAAGTTTGAATTGTGTTGTGGATTGGCCGTTTGTGCAACAGGGAAATGGAGGTGCTCTTTGGATTGGGTTTATCTGTCCCATCATGGTGACTTCAAATTCAACTGTTAATATTCAAAAATTTGGTACTTCAAATTCAAAATTTTGTTATCATATAAAGAAGTTTAAACAAGATTTTTATAACTGATTATGCAATAAACACATAAAAAATCTCAACACTCCAGATAATATGTATGAAATTGAATATTAAGAAGAATATGAAAAATTGTTCCAATCCACCTTTATGAGATAGATAATGATTAGAGGTTTTAGCTATATCATATATGAGATTCTTGTAATTATTTTGTATTATAAATTATTAGTTTTCAATAAAAAATTTCAAAATTTCCACAATAACTGTTTACAAAATTATATGGTTAAAATTAATTTTTTAATTAAAATAATTTCTTATGATAATTGAGAAATTGTAGATAAATTTATTTTTAAGCAAAGAAGGGGAAACATTTAGCCATTTTGGAGAAGATAACAATTTAATCATTTATTTATTAATTTTTGAAAAAAAATGGAGGAAAATAAAAGTAAAAGATATATAACTAAGATAATATAATACATATTATAAATATATACTAATTATCTTCATTTAAAAATAAAATTAAAAGTTAAAAAATTGGTTTAAAATTTTATTAGAAAATTATTTAATATTTAAAATTTAACATTTCTTCCATCAAATATATAATATAAACTAGTCATGCAAAGCATTTTATCATATTAATAAAATAAAATATAATATCTTTTGTTTTGGATTTGGCTAAAAACATAAGACATGGGTCCTGTAAAATTATTAAACTGCAATGCAAGTACCTCAGTGATGGCATATTTAGACAGCTTGGCAAAGTGCCTTGGAATCTGGTTTACGAAAGGTCCAGGTATGTAAGTTGGACCAAATTGCAAAAGCTTGCTTGCTTTCTTTCTTTCTTGCTTTGTTTTTTTTTTTTTTTGAGAAAAATATTGCTGGACCCGCCATATAATTTTGGAACATAATGAGGAAACTCAAATGCTTTAAGTTTCCAATCCAGCCAGGCATTTCATTATAGAGTTGGTTGGAACTTAAATCCAACCTTACTTAATTCCAAACTCTTAATATTCAAGAAAAAAAAAATTTAATCCATTGCATTTCATTCATTTTATACTCGCTTCCAAACAATGGTTATATAAAACTGTTTTTCCCATTATAAAACTTCTAAACTTCCACTCTGTCTCACTACATTCCATTCAATTTCATTAATGACTGTTTCTTTTCATCCAATCCTAAACTTCCAAACACATTGTTAATGATGCCATTTGGTATTTTTGAGGTTCACCACTAAAAATAAACTTTTAGCAGCATTGCTATCAAAAAGTATACATACTTTCAATGGAGACAAACATGGTCACCCTAAAAAACTGTTAGTAGCTAAAATTGGAGTTTGCCAACTTTTTTTTTTTTTAGTGATCTGACATACATTTTAAATCAAAAACAGAAGAAGCCATAAAATGTCAATGCCGAGCGCCCAACGCGGAACGAAACCCCGATTTGAATTTGTTCACCATATTCTTCGCCTTGCATTTATAATCTGTTGATTTTGATTTTATTTGGATTTAGAATTAGAATTTGATTTGCTGAAACAGTTTACAATGGGAAGCTCGGAAAGATAAAATGAGGAAGGAAAAGTTATCTTCATCAATGAATCTGTCTATACACACATACAAGATAAGATCAAACTAATAACCATATGTCTAACTAAATAAGTTAAGGTAACTAATGCTAGTTAACTACAACTAGTTTAGTTAACAGTTATGTTACTCCCTGCAAGCTGGTGCCTGGAAATCAAGCAAACCCAGCTCGGAAACTTCAGTACAAAAGGAAGAAGGGTGTAAAGCTTTAGTAAAAAACATCTGCAACTTTATTCCAAGTTCGAATGTAAGTAAATGAACTCTGGCATGAACTTTCTTACTAACAATATGGCAATCAATTTGAATATGTTTGGTGTGTTCATGAAAAACTGGATTGGCTGCAATGTGCAATAGATTGGTTCCATGTCAATTGTAATCTATCTAATAAAAATATAACATTATTAAATATCAATTGATTATAACATTAATGATAGAATAAAGGGAAAGCGCAAAATTTAAATACGCATTCTGTTATAAGAATAAAATCATTAAAATAATATCACATAAGATTTTATTTAGATAATTTGGAGCATTCTAATTGGACAGGCCAAGAATGACGTTGCGCACCCGGTCTATGAAGAAGAAGATCGAGATACAGTATTTTTTTAGTTTTAGAATTAGAGTTTGATTTGCATTTCTAATTTTTGACAATTTATTGAAAATCCATGAAATTTTGAGATTTGAAGATTTGATTTTTAGCATATGAATTGCGTTAATGGGATTGAAATCCAAACGTGATCGATGGGAAGAAGGACGTACGTAGAATATTTTTAATTTTGCTTTATTTATTAATTTATAATTTATGTGGCAAAATTAACATACGTGTACGATAAATTAACAGATTATGTGCATAAGGATCAATAGTTAAAATTAAAGAAACTATAAGGATCCAATGAAAAGGAGCAAACTACAAGGACCTGCTTAAAAATTAGGTAAAACTCTAAGGACTAATGAATTAATTTTCTCAATCTAAATGTTTCATAAAAGGTTCTTCCTATTTTTCTTTGGGGTTAATTTGCATAAATTATGGTGACTTCATGTATATTTTGTGTAAAATAGAGAAAATTGAGCGAGGTAAGTAAATTAAATAAATAAACGATTTATATCAATATAAAAATATTAAATAACAGACTACAAAGTTGATCTTGATTGGCTTGCTAAACAATTAGATATTTACTTTACATCTTCAACGTCCAAAACATTGTTCCAAGTCAAGTGAAAACTGAGAAGAAACACGCTCTCTCTCCCCCCTCTCCTTTTTGAAAACTGAGAAGAAACACACAAATTATTGCTTCCCTCCTGTCTTAAGTCACTTATAACTATAACTCACAAGAACCAAGAAAAATTAGTTACATCATTAAAATTGTTTAAAAATTATTTTGATTTTCATTTTCATGCCTATTAAATACCATAACTTTTAAAAATAAAATGGTTTCCGACATTAAGAAGAATGGCATATAAGTAATAAAGCAATTAATGCTACATAAATTTTTGCATTATATGAGCGCAAATAAATTCTATTAAACATAGACTGCGGCTAATAATAGGCTTTATATTTCATTATAATTTCCATTCAGATCATGGAAGGACTTAGAATTAGCCATCTTCAATCATTGTAAATTTGTAACACTATAGAGTTCACCATCAATTACGCGATCAAAAATTCATTAACTAAAGGTTTTCCATCTTAATTCAACCCAGGCAAATAACTTGTACATACTTTTTCATTTCATTTGCAATTAATTGTAAAAGTAAGAGTTGAAATTCATAAAGCTAATTACACCCAGAAAAAAAACCACAAATGCACCGGCAAAACTCCATATGAAAGCATCTCGGAAGTCATCTTTAGCTGAATGATGTGGCTGTATTTGTCCCCCTACTGGTTCATCAAGAGACGAACAACTGTACTGTAGAGGTGGGCCACAAAGAAAAGGATTCCCTTCATAAGAACTTTGATCAAAAGTTGCAAATTGGTTTTTCATGTCAGGCACCATACCAGATAGATTATTGTGAGCCACAGAAAAGACAGACAAAGAGTACAACTGTGTAAGTCGAGAAGGAATATGACCCATCAATTTGTTGTATGAAAGATCTAAACTTTCAATCTCTTTAAGGTCAGAAAACGTGTCTGGAATAGGCCCAGTCAAATAGTTGTTTGACAAATTTAATGTATGAATAGCATTCAGGTATCCAATTTGTGAAGGGATTTTACCTGTCAACTGATTGTCCGAGAGATCTAGGCCAGACATGAAATCTAATATATTTCCTTCATATGATTCGTACCTGCTTTTTGACATGAAGTTCACCACTATTTCCTCATACCATGAAAACTTTTTTTCATATTCACCTTGGAAAAGCTCGCCACTTGTATGATTTATGTCAAATAATGGGCCTCTTGTAGCCCAAGGGACAACAAATTTTCCTATTTTGGCTCCTCCCATCACATCCTGCTTTCTAAATGTGATCTTATTCAAGCAATGTGGTATCCCTCCGGAAAGCATGTTGTGTGAAAGATCCAGTATGCTTATGTTCTTGAGGCTGCACATATCCATAGGAATGGAACCATCAAGCTTGTTTCCTTTTAGGAGAAGGACTCTTAAATTCAACATCAACTTTAACCACCTGGGAATTTGACTTGAAAATATGTTCTTTGCCAAATCCAAAGTTAATAGCATGGGAGATTTGGCGAAAACAGAAGGAATCGGTCCTGTAAAATTATTGCCCCGCAAATGCAAGTACCTCAGTGATGGCATATTCAGACAGCTTGGTAAAGTCCCATTGAATCTGTTTTGTGAAAGGTCTAGGTATGTAAGTTCAACCAGATTGCAAAAGCTTTCTGGTACTAGACCTGACATGGAATTTTGGGACAAAATGAGGTAACTCAAATGCTTAAAGTTTCCAATCCATGTAGGCATTCCACCATAGAGTTGGTTGGAACTTAAATCCAGCATTCTTAATTCTAAACTCTTAATGATCCCATCCGATACGTTTCCTTTAAAGTTGTTGTTGCTTAGATCCACAGACAATAAATGTGTGAAGTTTGAACCAACGGGTAAACATGGGCCAGTTAAGTTGTTGTTTGACAACTTTAGAAACCTCATGTCGTTGCTGCCCTTCCCAAATTCTTTGGGTATATATCCAGACATATTGTTACTGGATAAGTCTAGTGAGTTCAGCTGCCTCATGTCACCGAGTGAAGCTGGAAATCCACCTTGTAAGGAACTCGAAGACATGTTCAAAGAAAGCAAGTTGGGAAAAATAGAGCCAATATGAGGAGGGATTTCATCATTAATAGGGTTAGAGGAAGCATCAAAATATTGCATGTCAAGTAATTTTGTGGTGGAGTTGAGCTCAAAGGGACCAGTCAAGAAGTTGTGGCCGACATTAAAAGAATCTAACTTGGTGTTGTTTGTCAAAAGCCAATGTGGGAAACTTGCTGAAAAGTTCAAATAAGTAAGTTGCAGAAGTCTCAAGTCATATTGATGAAGAAGAAAAGAGGGTATTACGCGATTGCTTGCTTCATTCATATTGCATTTGACTACGCTGAAAATCTTTAATTGGAAAGAAGGGAAAAAGGGGGGATTTTCAGTTTCAAGCTTGAGATTGGGGTTATTAGAGCACGAAATTGAGAAGAGTTGAAGGTTGGAGTGGTTGGCCAACAAAGAAATCGATGCTATGCCAGTGAAATAGTTTTCTTCAAATGAAATGAATCTGAGGGACTTAGAGAATGAATGAGTGAGGAAGGGAAGTTTCCTTCAAAACCATTGAACTGAAGATCAAGTTGACGGAGGGATGTCAAGTTACCAAGGCATGAAGGAAGGAGTCCTTCAAACTTGTTGCGACCAAGAGACAATAGTTTCAGATTCTTCAGATTGCATAAGCCTCCTGCAACATATAAATTTCTTTTATTAAATTCATTTAATTGGTTTATGAGTCTCCAAATGAAACAAATAAAAAAAATTAAGCAATAGGTTAAACTTTGTGATTAGCACCTTTCTTAAGAATACAGTGGCTATGATGCACGGATACAGCATCGGATATACATATCCGATACTTTGATACTTTCATTTTTAAAAATATAATATATGATACATTTTTGATATGTGTATATGTATATATATATAAAATAAAAATTAAAAATATAATTTTAATTTAGAAACTATCAAAAATAAATATTTGAGCAAAACAAGATACTCGATTATAAGCCTGAAAATAAATATGATCTAGTCAGGCGTACTTAAATATGCAGAAAATTTATTTCCAAATGAGCTTAATAAATAGATAGAGAATACATAGTGAACAATGAGGAAAGAGAAATGTTTATTAAACATATTTCATAAGAAAATTTAGAGAGCAATAGAGTTTTATGCAATAGAATAATTGTAGTTAGCTATTAGCCTATCTATGAATAATCAAATACATACTCAGTGTCAATGAAGCTATTAATCCTTACCAATAACAATTGATTTCTATATTTGACTCAAATTTATATTAGAACTTTCATTTGACAAACATATGAGAGATTATAAATTAAATACCTTGCCGTGGCAGTGAGCCTTTCAGGCTATTGTTAAAGAGGGACAAGGCCCACAAGGAGGAATTGAAAGAGAACGCCGAAGTCTTCGAATTGTGGGAGGAAAGAGAAATATCTGTCAAGTATGAAATATAAATATTGAAAATAAAAAATTAAACAAATGTATATAAAATTATTATTAAAATATTAAATTATAAAAAATGTAAAAAAAGTAAAAGTCAAGCTGTTAAAATTTTAATATGAACAATTAAAAAATACAGTAAGAACAAAATAAAATAAAATAATTTATAAAATTTCAAATTTTTGAACCACCCAAATTTTGATCTAATGTTTAGAAATTAGGAAGAGAAAGAGAAGTGAATGAAAAGAGAAGAGGAAAGAATCCTCTCCCATCTTTTCCTCTCCTTTCCTAATTTCCATATGCCATATATATATATATATATATATTCCTTTTTCATTCCATTCTCTTATTTAAAATCTATTCTACCCTAGACATATTGTTCCTGCTATCACTTAATTTATATATAGATGTCAAGATTCAAAATTCAAGTTATTAAATGATTCAATAATAATCTCTATGATCTTTTCCTTCAGTACCGTTACCATCACATATCTATAGTACAAACACCATCTCATTCAACTCTCGATATTCTCAAATTTTTTCTAAACATCAATTGATTTAAAAAAAAACCAAGGAGCCAAGAAAATAAATAAAGTACGGTATCAAAAAGAAGTTGATAAATAATAATAATTAAGAACCAAGGAATGGGATTTCCGTAAGCATGTTTTCTTCCAGATAAAACGTTTGCAAGTTGTCCAATCTAATTTCGCCAAATAGCCCTGCTCCAATAACAACAAAAATATCAGCAGTTACTCTTAATGTTATTGCTGGTAAATCAAACAACGTACAAGTTTGAACTGAGATGAATAAAGAGAAGAATTAAATAGGAGAGAGTCTAATTCAAATTCAGTTTTCTGACTTGATGATATAGCATCAGGGTTTCAGAAATTGAAAAATAAAAGATCTAGTTTGCGTGACATATTGTGTGGGTCTTTGTTCTAAATATATATATGTATGAACATGAATAACAAATTAATCATGAAATACAGTTAGAGAGTGGAGATCAGAGAGACAGAGACCTGACAAGTAATTCCCAGACAAATCCAAAGCTTCAAGTTGATGGAAAGGGAGAAAATAAGAAACATTCAATGACCACGTGATGTGTTCCAACTCTTGAGCTCTTATATGGCTCAGAAGAAGGCTTATCACTCTCCGAGTAGAGTTGTCACAGCTGATTCCCTGCCAGCTACAACAATCAGAACTGGTAAGGTTATTCCAAGAAGGAAGAGACGAGCCGTTTGGATAATTGAAAGCTTCTTTCAGTTTGAGAAGAGCTTCTCTCTCTTCTTCCAAACACGCCTTGCTTCCATCTTTGAGTCCTAGTAATGTAATAATCGCCACCACCCACCAATACACTTGTTCTCGTACTGAATATCCCATTCTGTAATCTCTCGCCATTTCTTCAACTGCGCACTCTCATTCTATATAGCCTGTGAGGATTAAGATTATGGGTGTTCATGAGATCACGAAAACCCTATCTCATGTCCCGTCCTAAAAAAAATATGAGATTGATTTTTTTCCCGTGTCCTATCTCACGCGAATATATTTTTATCCCATATCATTTTCCTTTTTTTGAGCTAGGATAAGCCCATCTCAACATGATCGGGATGAAATTGGCCAACGGGGACCAAGACAAGCATGAACACCCCTAACTATGTTCCACATCTATAATGGTCCCCTTGAAATTAAAGAAACTTGAAACGACCGGCATGTACATTGATATTGACATTTTTGCTATGACTGAGTCGTTCATATTTTTGTATTTTTGGAATGAAGAATGTATCATATAAATTTCAAAAGAATATGTACACGAGATTACAAAAACTATATTTTAAGAGGGAGTGAATGATCAAAGACTCAACGGCGTCCATACTATTTAGCCCTAAACTATTAATGAGGTTCCTAAGCATTTTATTGCGATCTTTGGAGAGTCGTTCATAAATTTGATAAATGACGTTTCACTTTTTCTATTGTACTTGAAAAATTTCTGCTTGTAAAATGTAAAAGTATCTTCTATTAATTATAAAAGAAGTACATCTTTGATAAAAAATAAAAGCAGCACATATTGATTACCTATTGGGTTGTCTGTGTGTCTGGTGTAAAGCACGGCTCAAGGCAAAAGTCAAGTGGGTCCGTGACGAAGTGACATGAGGTTAGAAAAAATAAGTTGGGTGGATAAGGTGTTATAGGAGTGAGATTAAGCATGGGCCAAACATGACTGTGAAAGACTAAGAGTGGTGTGGAAAAGTCAAGGTGAGATTTTTGTAAATTATTGTTTGAGTGAGATGTTGGAAGCAAATATGAAAATTTGGTATAAGTCATGTTTAAAAACACTGGTTTTTAAGAATTATTTCGCTGTAAAGGTTGAGTGCAACAACTTCCAAAAAAATAAATGAACCCTTCCTACAAAATAGGGAGCAAAATAGGGATACACCTTACACCATGATTTTGAATCGGAAGAGAGATTTCAAGAAATGACAAATTTATTCACTCTATCAATAACCGAGCCGGCTCTGCTGTATCATTAGGGATTTGCCTTTCTTATTGAATTCTCTAGATTGGATCAAAAAACAATTCTTGAATGAGGTATTCAACTCAAGGATGTGGATTCTAACAATATTTTTCGTTCTCTATTTCTATTTAAAAGAATCTCTAGGAAAAACATTTTTTTTCATCGAGCTAAAAAAATATGTCGATATCTCTAGTAAACTAAAGTAATGTTTAATAGCTACTTCACTTCAATCTCTCCTATACAAATAAAAAATTGGAAGATTTAGTTATGATAAACAAAAAACAAAAAAAAAACATAGAAGGAAGCAGAACAAAGGAAGGGAAAAGAAGAGAATGAATGAAAGCTTGAAGGCCATGGATCAAACAACGACATTGGTAATGAATTAAGCACCTTAATGACGATTAAAATTTGGTTTCCCAACATTACACTACAATATTTATAGCCTATGCCAACAATTTACTTTGGAACAAATAAAAAAAGGTTGCCTATAATAAAAATTGGTAACAGTTTTTTTGCAGTAATTTTTGACTACCACTTTGCGCAACATATTCCAAGTAACATGAGAAAATTGTTGCCATTGTAGAAAAGGTATAACAATTTTATATATGTTACTAATTTTGTCGTCATTGCTATCAGTTCGTGAGTTCTTTCAAGTGTTTGAGGGTTATTGCTGGTTCGAGGTCCATCGCTTGTTCTTCAGAGCTTTCAATTGTGTTCGTGGGTTGTCACTGGAAAGGGGTGAGAGATTCTTTGCTGTATATTGGGTTGAGTGGGCCTGTGACAAAGTGATATGAGGTTAGAAAAAATAAATTGGGAGGATAAGATGTTAGAGTATTAAAATGGTGGGGTATTAGTCTTCCCAAACTTGATTGTGAAAGACTGAGAGTGTGTTGGAAAACTCAAAGTGAGAATTTTTTTTTTTAAATTATTGTTTGAGTGAGGTGTTGGAAGCAGTGAAGAAAATTTGGACCAAATCATGTCTAAAGACATTGTTTTCAAGAGTTATCCTATCACAAAAATCTTGTCCAAAGATATGTATAGGTGTTTGGATATATTATTGTGAAAAAATTAACCATTTGATTCTTATAGTTTTAACTTAGTTGTAACTCAACTCTTGAACTTTGACTCCTTATAACTCAGTCTCTGAAGTGTTGACTCGGTTGTAAATCAGTTCCTAAACTTTGCCTTTTGCAATTTAGTCCTTAAAATTTTAACATCTTAAATATTGGTCTCTATATTTTAAAAAATAAAATTATAAAGATTAAAAATATTTAAAATTTATTACTAATATTTTCAATTATTAAAAACCTTTTAGTATTTATAAATATTATAAATTTTAAAATTTTAAAATATTTTTTCTTTATAATTTTAAAATATAGGTACCAATATTTAAGAGGTTAAAACTTCAGGGATTAAATTGCAAGAGGCAAAGTTTAGGAATGATTTATAATTGAGTCAAAACTTTAGAGACTGAGTTATAACTAGAGTTGGTAAACGGGCGGGCCTGACCCATATGGGCCTAGGCCCTAAAGCCCGGTTACCCTAATTTACTCTAAAATTGAAGCCCGGCCCTTATTCATAAGGCTCAGGGCCGGGCCCATAAGCCCGGATAAGAATAAAATTTAACATTTAAATTTATTTAGAATATTTTAAAATTTAACATATATCAAACCAAAGTCTCACATAAATCTAAAAATGAACAAAAATTTTAAAAGTCCAATAAGATTAAGCAAACATAAATCATAATCTAAGCAATCTCCCTCATTATCATCCATAAATAAAATATTAAAACCCTCAAATGTAGGTCCACTTGTGAAGATGGAGGTGGAGGCTCATATTAATTATTCTGCAACTTCTTCATCATCACCTACAATAATTATTAATTAAATTGTTTTATTATCAAATATATATCCATAATATATCACAAGATTAAAATATAAAAATTACTATAAATGGCCAAAACAATTCAATCAATTGCTGGTACAATACAAATCAATGTTTGTACATTATATGAAAAGAGGTGAAAAAATATTTTTTGAATAGTAAAACGGGCTTCACAGGGCCGCCGGGCCCGACCCCGTTTTTCTAAGGCTTAAAAGGGCCAGCTTCGAAGCCAGGTTACCCTAAAAAATGCCAAATTTTAAGCCCAAACCCTTATTAAAACGGGCTTAAATGGCGGCCTGTTAAGCCCAGCCTTATTCCCGACTCTAGTTATAACAAGTTAAAGTTCAGGAACTGAGTTGCAACAAGATGAAAACTACAAGGACCAAATGATTAATTTTTTTATTATTTTCAAAAACCATGATTTTACATTATTTTTAATTCTACTTTCAATTATGCTGAAATTAATCTTATTAAACATTTTATAATTATAAATCAATTATACCACACTAACATAATCAATTATATTCAAAATTAATTATATTAATTTTATAACTAATTTTTTTATGTATATCTAAATGGGTCAAGTTTCAGGCACTGATACCCTCAACCATTGTTTCAAATGGACTGAATTGGATGGTCGAATCATCGATCGTAATGTTAGCAACTCTATTTGTGTTAAAATTGAGTGGGATAGCACCAAATAATTGGTGTAGGCTTGGACAAGAAGGAAGGACTAAGGGAAAGAAACTTTTTATTGTTGCTTCTAGCAATAATTTACACACTCCCTTCTTAACTTTTCAACACACACCCATTACACTATAACTCTCCTCTCTTGTCACTCTGCACACACTCTTTTCTCACGCACACCTCACCCTTCGCACACACTCTCACACTGCTTTCTCTCTTTGTTGCTCACACTTTCTGGTCACCCACATACTCAACCAGAGCTCCTTATTTATACTACTTGAAAGTCCTCAGCCTTCTTGGACATTCCATTTTCACTGCCATAAATATTAAAATATTAGTATCTAGAATGATCTCTTTCATCGCCTATGCTTTGTTTCTTCTATATCCAGAAAAATCTTTCACTGCCATTTCTGCTGCAAGGAGAGGATCTAGATTTTTGTTGAAATTCTTTAGCTTCTAGAATAAAAAAATCTAGAGGAGAAAGAGAGTTGGTGAACTATTTTAATAGTTTGGATCAAAAAATTATTTTCATGATTGAGTTAAATTGAATCAGAGTTGAACTGCTATCAAGCTAGAAATTGAAGTTAAATCGAGAACTAGATTGATTTTCAAAAAACCAAACAGTTTTAAACATAATATTAAAAAAGCTTAAAAATTTTAAAAAAGACTAGAAAATTTAAAGATTAGATTCCTACTCAAAGCAACTTTATTTTTGGACAATTCTCATGTATAAAATATGAAATATATTTGAGACCATTTTTTTTCTAATGATGTTGATAATTATAGGTGCAAATGTAAATATTTTTGAATTTATTCATATTTAATTTAACCAATTCACCTATATTTGACAAGTTATAAAATTATAATTTACAATATTGTTAATTCATGGTCATGTTATGTCATTTTATTAACAACTAGGCATACTGTAGATTTGTTTCTTATATTTATTATATATATAATATTATTTTTATTTAATTATTATATCATTGATCCAACTACTGGTCTAAACGATTAGACTTTAAAAATCAAGAACTATTGATTTTTCTGGTCCAACGTCCTATCTGGCTTTTAAAACATTTTCCCTAACTTTTAAATGTCCATCTAATACCCTATCCTATCCTCCCATTTTATTTTTTCTAACATCATGCTTCTTCCTTTTGATATTATAAGATATTTTTCCAAAATATCCTTATTAATCAATAAGAGGTGTAATTAATAAGGTTTTCTATTTGAGACACCTTATTTAATAAGGACAAAAATGAAAAGAATATATAATTTTTAAATAAAATTAACTAGCTCATTAAAAGTGTAATTTTGTTAGAAGTGCCCTATATATTGAATAGATAGAAGTTTAATTTATTGCAATGGAATTTGGGGACGACAAATGGAGTCTCAAATATTTGGGATGGTTCGTACAACCAATT